AATCCCTCATTTAGTAATTAAAGAGATAAAACGTCTTTCTACATTTAGAAATACACTCACTCATTTTGGGAATTCCTTACTAATTCTCTGTTCCAAACGGCACATTTAAATTAACTCAAAATTCTCAGTTATTTTGGTAATGCCATTAATTTGTTCATTTTTAAAGATCATTGTCCTTTCTTTAGAACATGTATCACAGCACACACAAAGCCATCTGTTCAGTGCATTATGTACAAGCACACAGTAAAGAAAAAAATACAAGGAGTCCCAGCTGCAATTTTACTATTAATTCATCAAAAAAGTAATTTCCTTTTGCAGTACTTCATCAGATGCTGAAAACTGTGCACGTGATTCACAAATACAGAAGAAAACAGCAGAATTACAGAAACCCAAACTAACCCCCAGCCCCAGCCTGCAGTGACACCAACATTGCAATCTATCCTCATGTGGCACAGCAGCTTGCTGTCTGCCTGGAATGCACAGCCCTTCTGGATGCTCTATTAGAGCTGGCTACAAAAGTTACATATTTTTAGCTAATTATGGGTCAGAATAAGAAAAGGAAAAGCAGATTAGCAGTACAGTCATATTAAACAGAGATTAACACAGCGAGAAAATAAAGTCACTGCTCTGTTTGTCTAATCCTGACTCCTGCACGGTCTTTAGAAACGCGCTGCACTAAATATACTTGTTAATATATTTAAGACAATTAATTATTGCAATTGTTATTCTTTTTCCCAAAATTTTATTTTCCTATTGCTTGAAGCATTTTTCCAGGCTGCATCTTACTCTTTGAACATCTTCTCTATTTGCTGTTGATTGCAGTGACATCTATTGGAGAGGCAGTGTTTGGCTACACAAGCTGCCTCACCTGGAGATCACAGGTTTTGGTTTACCACCCCCCCACCCCCCACATTAAAATTTCTTCTCCTCTGTTTTAGCACCATTTTACCTAAGGCAAACTCCAAGGCTTAAACTGCTTTATTGAAAGTTTTTGTTTGGCTACTGTTCATCATTCTGGCATTTTTCCAAAGGGAAAATGATATTTTGTCTTCTTCACCCACAGCAGAACACAAACACTTCCTGAGGGTGCACCTAAAGCACTCCACGTGCTTGGCCATAAACTCCATTAAGCCTCAGCTGAACTCTCTACCAGTTTTTAAGCTTTTGTTTTTAATGAAAGCCATCCTCCTCTCCCATGAGTCCCAACATCACTGATGCTGTGGAAGCCGTGAAAGCCTTGGGTACGTTCATCCAAACCAATCCACACACACAGGGAGACTTGCCCCTCTGTCACCCTAAGCAGCCACAGGTCAACCACAAAGGAGAACACATGGCTGAAACACTAAAGAAGTTTTGATTCAGTAGAAGAAGCGCCATTCCTCAAAAGTGTGTTAGGAAGATAAATAATTATGCTTTCTTATAGCTCCATTGATTTTTGCATTATCTGCAGACAAAAAAAAAACAACAAAGGAAGGGGACATTATTATCCCCTTATTAGATACAGTCAAGCATCCTTGCAGACAGGAAGTCTGAGCGCTGCAGCATCTAGTCCATTATCTTAGTCACCTTTCACGATTTTTTATTATCTATTTTTATTATTTTAAGCTTATTTGAAACCCACCGGATCAACCTCAGCCTCTTAGCTAGACAAGCACTTTTCACAAAAATTAAATAAATTATCAATTGAAATTAAAGTTTCCAAGTTCCAAGCAGTTGTCTTTACAGTTTTCTAATAGTCTTTAAAGGCCTTTCTTAAGTTATGATTGCCTCAACTCCATTACAAAAATATATCCAAATTGTACAGCTACGAATGCCCCAAGGAAAAGCTTACAAAACATTCCATTACAAACTACTCTGCCCATCCATTTCCTCTGCTTCTTTTTACTACTAACCCCTCATTACAGCAATAAGCCACAACAGGGTGCACATTAGTCTATTAGCAGACTCTTAGTGCACACCTACAGCCATCCGCCTCTAAAAGAAAAAAAAAACCAATGCCTATTGACACAGTCTGGAGCACAGCTGCTCCTAAGTACAAATGGCTCCTTTGTATGCTTTCCCTCCCTTTTATTTGTTTTGATTTTCTTTTCTTTTCTTTTTTTTTTTTTTTTTTTTTAATTCTATCCAAAATCTGATGTTTTTAACGTTTGGGAAACCTAAAAAAGAATAAATCTTTATGGAGAGTGAGATCCTCCAAAATCACCTCTGTCACTGTAACATTTTCAGGTTTGTTTTTTTGTTTTTAAAGACGAAGAATTCTTTTTGCAGCAGGATGAAGAATCACCAAGCTGGTCTGCCAAACAGTTAAATAAGCAAGCAAGGAAACAAGTTGTCTTCTACAAATCCTGTAGCTTAGTCTTCTCCAGCTGTTGCCCATGTAACTGCCATTCCTCTCCAAAGGATTCAAGTTTTCCAAAAGTATTTTAAAATGTGAACTAGAAGCCTTAAAATAGTGAAGTCAAAGCACAGAGTAAACAAGCAGCACACTACACATTTAATAGTAGTATCAGTGGAAATGAAAAAAAAAAAAAAGAGGAAATGCTATTTTCAACTTGCCTTTAATATGCAGCAAAACACTATTTAGGAACTTGGAAAATGATCTTTGAGTTATCAAGGGTTCAAATTAATTTGGAACATAAAGAGAAGCAGGTCTGAAGCTAAGGATGCAAGAAGACTTATTTGAAACAATAAATAAAACTCTGGATCTTCTTTACAATGCCAGTGGAGCTCAGCATTTAAACCACAGAAACATGAAGGATGTATGCAATTTCTGTAAATGAAGTTCGACACCCAACAAGGATTTACCCTTTTCGGATGAAAAACTACCTCTGAAAAGAGAAGGCAGAACACCTACAAGAAATGACTGTTTGTTACAGCGAGCCAGCAATGAAAGCCACAGTTTCAGTGATGGAAAAGCAGAAATAAAAGGGAGCACTGCAAAAAGGCAAGTGAGTTTAAACCCCAAAGGGGAAAGGAAATCAATATCAAAAGGTCATTCAGCCTCCTCAAGGGGAAAACAGACTGAATATGGAGACTGCAGTGCAGTGTGTACAGGATGGAAAAGGAAGAAATATTTTCTGTTTTGCAGTAGGAAGTCTAACAGTGCTTTGCTTTCATTTTCAGTCTGAGGAATGATAAAGAAGAACATGAGGCAAAAGATGAGACTATGTATAGAAGGACAAGCATGAAGAAAAAGTATGAAGTGAAGCAAGTGAACTATTTCTGCCATATGAAAGAAATTGATGACTTGGTTTATGACATTTAAGTTGTATTAATAAGAATGCTAACTAAGTAAATAACTACATCCATCAGTAGCACAACTAGAGTACACAGACTTAACAGTTCTACAACCTCAAAATGCCCTTCTAAGGTCTTCCACACTATTGGCACAGATTGAGAGCCACGGGGTGTAAATGAAAGAAGGGGAGGCTATGACATGAATTCACCTGAAATGACACCTCTTCCTTTCAGGATACCCAATCTTCTAAACACAGAAGACAATCATTAAGTTCACCTTATGTTCAGTGAAGCTCAGTAAATTATTAAGTTCACAAAAAAAAAAAAAATAGAACTAGCATATTAAGTGGGCAAGAAATAGACCAATATGAACATGCAGATTGGCATTGCCAAGAGGGCAGGTACTTTCCTGGACTGAGATTGCTGGGATGGTGATGAAGAATCAGGACAAAAATTAGGGACACTAAGTAGGTCACAAATATAATACTGTGGTCAGATTTACAGAGAAAACTGTTTTTCAAGTTGTCACAGAAAAGAAACTGTAGAAGTCCATTCCACAGCTGCTGAGATGCTTGAGTTTCAAAAGTGCTCTGCCTGACTACCACTTACACCCAAGACACCAAAAAACCTTCTTCCTCTTCTTCCAAAACCTTCTGATCTCCACCAACCAGCCTCATTAATTATCTCTCCAATGGCACACCGCTGCCAGCAAGGAGGAGGAAGTCAGCAAGAACAGCTGGAAGAGCTTTCCCATCAGCAGGCCTCAGGATTAGAGCATATACCAGGTGGGAGCCATACCTGCTACTCTAAAGGCAAAAGCTACAATGGCATCTGTCTGCTTTGGTTTGGCCCTACCTTGGGAAAATAAAACCCACTCCAAGAAACAGATGAGGAGAAACGTCATTGCTGCTAACAAACATGTATGCTGTTTTGATACATGAGAGTGCAATAACAACAACAAAAAATGACATGTCTCATTTCAGAAAATAATTTTGTATTCTTATCTGTGATTTTAATATCCCTAAACAATTGATGCAAGACAAGCTATGAATAACAGTACTACATTTATCCAAAGTTGGAATTCATAAAGCAGTATCGTGGAATATTAGTCATGCTGTGGAAAACTCTGAAGTTGCACAATGTCCTCCTCTAAGTCCCTAAATGACTGCACAGAGCACTAATCATTGCAATTTGTTAAAACAAACAAACAAACAAACAAATACAAGGATAGTTACAGAACCTTTCCCTAGAAATGTTACAAAGATGGGAGAGCTTCTTTCAGAACAGCACTGAAACAATAAATCAACATATTTTCATTTTAAAGAAAAATATTTTGTTTGAATAGCAATGTCCCAAATCAACTGCAGGCTTTCTTGGGTGAGAACCATGCACCCAGGGTTCTCAGCCTAGGACTACTTAGCTACCACCAAAATTACAAGGGTAAAGCACAAAGTCTGACTTCTATGGCTGACACCACTGCCAAAGCAAGCACTCTACAGCTCACTTAGACCTTTTAAGACTGAAAACAGAGCCCTTGTTACATCACTTCAGAAGACAGCTGTAGGATCCTGGCTGGGAATAGAAGGCCAGGTAAGTTACAAATCAGCAGCTCTCAATGAAGACAAGTTTGAGAATTAGATCCTATTGCCACCCAGCACTTCTTCCACAACACAAACAGAAAAAGGCAGATATGTTTATCATATCATATAATTCATCTACATCACACAAACATCATCTGACACAATGACTGTAGCACCACTTACTCTCTGCACAAGCATCCTCCTCCTCTTCATCCACGCTGGCTTCCTCCGAGTGCAGTCTTTCCAGCGCTCTGTAAGGAGGTGGCAATTTCATTGGAGGTGGGGCCCCATACTTTCTCTGTTGGATTCAAAGTAAAATAATTACATGCTTCGTATCCTCCGTGCACGAGAAAAAAAAACCAACATCCTACAAGTTCCACGCATTCATACATAGCACTTAATCACAACACTGAAACCTGGAGCACAGACTTTTCAGGCAAGAAAACAGAAAAAGTAGTAACAGCGAACATCAAAAAAATACAACTGAGAATGAACTGCTGTTGACAAAATATTCGTGTATCAGGCATGAAAGTATGAATATTAATCAAGGGTTGAAAATAAGCACTAAACTATACCCCCATTTCTCATTAGAAATGCTCAAAGTTGTCTTCTACTGTCTGAAGTCAACAAACTTTTATAATTGAAAGTAAGAACTCAGTTTTCATGTGTCACGGTAATATTTAGACCCTCAGCTTCATTTTGGTGAAAATTAAAAAAAATAATAATTTGAATTACAATGTACAATAAAATTCTATTACCTCACATAAATAGAGACAGCTCCTATAATGATGCATATAGCGACGCATAGCAGGCATAAGAACAGGCTCTGGATCTAATGACAACAGCCGCTCCTTCGTCCAAGCAACAGTTTTATAGCTCACAGTAACTGGATAGGGCCTCAGTTGGCTGTGTGATTTCACCAAATTGCATTCAACCATATCCCATGCAACCTCACTACTAATAGCAGGATGCACTTAGAAAGGGAACACCGAGTGCGTTATGCCATTAGAGCAGCCCGAACGCCTATAATGAGTTTTGCTATAGCTGGCAATTGCAGAACACCCAAACATCAAATCTAGAATAAAATTTTCTATTAGGTATAATGAAAGCTGAGCTCGCATATAGATTTCTATACTCTTGAGCCTAAATTTGTGTGGAGTTGTTCAACTAGCCAACTGCAATGTCAGCTACACACGTTTTCTGAGGTAAGACTGGCATCAGCCCATCGGTTCAAGAAAACATTACAGAAAAATGCTGCACCGAGGACGGCTTAACACTAATAAATGAAATATATCCAATGGTAGTAAAACCCCTGCACTCAGAGACCTGGCAGCTGTTTCCCCTAAGCATACAATACACCAAATAACTCTTCCACTTTTAGCTTGATCTCTGATCTCAGTAGAGGCAGAGCTGTACAAAATCCAGAAGGTTCAAGAAGCGTCAGGTCTCACATAGGACATTACCACACACACAAAGATGGAAAACCTGCAGCTCCTCCTCCAGCTACCTATGACAGATGAGTATCACTGTAATTTGCTAACAACTCAAAGCCTAAAATTTGACCCTTACTCACTTAAGACAGTAAGTACTTGCTAGAAAGTGTGTGAAATTACATGAGGCACGTAAGCTTACCCAACATCTTGCTATGGCTCAGGACAAGCTTTGTACATCACTTCCAACCCACCAAGGATCCAGGTGTGTCTGTATGTTGGACTACACTGCTACACAGTGTTTCTGAATTAGCACAGCTCCTCCCGCAAAGACAATGGCAAAAAACACAGCTAAAAACAGCTCATCAGCAAAAGAATTTAAAGCTGATTTGTCCACAAGAAGCTCAATTGTTTCAAGTGTTTAAATAGAGAAAAATCTTCACTATTGAAAAGATCACTAATCATACAGGAACAAGCAGATTTTTTCAGATGGAAATAGCAACTTTCAAACCAAACTCTTTTGTGAGACTTTGAAGACTGGACTAGAAATATCAGTGATTTCCCACAGGGACACAGACCAGTAATCCACTAATAGCAAATCGTTCCAAGTCTGAGATGCCCCTGCTGCAGCACAGTATGACTACTTTGTGAATTCATGTTCAAAGCTAAAAAGGAGCTATGTATTTAGGCACTGATGCTTTTCTATATTCCACCCACCAGTTTACAGCACCAATAGATGAAAAAGGTCTGAGAAAGATTAGGTTCCCTCTTTAACCTCCAAACGCTATAGAACGGAACACACTGGAGTCCTAGAGATTAAAGGCGGCACATTGCAAGAGGATGAGTGCTTCTGAGATTAGAAATATCGATAACAAAACCAAGAAAAGGGGATTGTAACTGCTTCATTGTGAGTATTATCCATGGGCATGAAAGCAAAGCTTCAACATCTTGATTTTTTTTTGGGGGGGGAGGCGGGGAGAGGGGAATAACTGAGCCTCAGAGCATCTGTATCGGACAGATACAAGTCTTACAAAAACTTTCAGAGATAAGGGGGCCTTCTCAGTTACACAAGAAATACAAAATTATTGAGTAGGATCAAATGAAAAGCTTGCCATATTTGTTGTTGGCATGTTAAACTGCACTGAACAAAAGTTATTGTATTCTCTATTATTCACAGTTATTGTAATGACTCGAATTCTGTCACTGCTTCCTCGTCCTTGAAGGTGCACCTGATCTACAGAGGTCAACTCAGTTTCCTAAAGAAAGGCATCCAGGGAAATACATATGCCATTAAAGCAACCTGGCTGAGAATGAAAAATTAAATTTTTCCCTTACTGTGGTGATTAAAACAAATCCACTGGTTTATATCAAACAGGTTTCCTTTTTTTTTTTTTTTTAAATCTGCTGTAGAGGTTACTGTAATGGCTTCACAATTAGCAGGCCAGCAGCAGACCACTTGGTCATTTCCTTGTTTTACACAGCAATAGGAAACATGGGAGACCTACCTGATTTAATTATCCTATAACACAATTTTATTGAATTTCAGACAGCCTCACATTAAGGATATCATCTGTGTACATGTTATTATTTCTCTATTTCCACTGGAAAAGGAGAATCAATTTGTCTCCCCATGGAGCAAGACAAGCAACTCCAGAAAAATGCCAATATAAAGCACCAGGGGAGAATCACCAGGGGAGCCTGAATCCTGTCTTGTATTTGGCAGAAATTTGGCAAAAACTACTTGAATCAAAAAATTTCAACAAAGCACTTCAAGTTTCAATTCAGACTTCACTGAGGCTTATCATACCATTATAACATATTATTGTATCACTTGATTTAGCAGAACTTGGGTGTAGCATTACATGGAATAAATACCTTTTCACTCTTATTTTCTTTGTTTGCATCCTGATCTTTGCTGACCTTGATTCCCTTAGGGTGTATGGCAGAAACCACCTGTAAAACAATACATTTTACACACACACTAGAAAAGACTGTTATAGTTGCAAAACACCTGAAAGTTAGGTAATAACAATAATAAAGCCATCCAGCACACTCTGCACTCTTCATGTTTTTCTGTGTAGAACTGCATTGCAGTGCATCTGAGGAGTTTGTTTTCACTGAAATTAAAAATACTGAGTTTTTGTGCTCATTGTTTGACACCTTGCCCCATCTCCCCATTCACTTAAATGTTCCTCTGAATCATATGCCTTTTCCTGGAGAAGCATTAAGAGGTTTCTTGCTTCACCTCAAAGATGAGGAGACACTAAATCTCTTGAAATTTAGCTTGCTACTGAAGGACTACTTCAGGTTTTTTTGGTGACCCATTTTACATGGAGCTGCTGGTGCCAATCTGGCTATTTCTCATCATTTCATATTTTGTTCATTTGGATAACTGAGTGCATTTTTACATTATGAAATATAAACAAATTAGAATACAGAGGGCCAGATACAATTTTACAGATGGGAGAATTGAATTAATATCTAGTCAACAAATTGACATCAGCTTGATTTACAACAAAGTAACAAGGTTTTGAATCAAGCCAGGTAAGCAAGGATGTGGTCTACAAGCAGAAACTCCAACAGAAAGGATGGGGACACAAATTGTCAGATCTTGCCAGTAGAAATTTAGCCAAGTTCAAAATAAGATTCATACAACAAATTTGTTAAATTTTGGAATAAAAAATAGAAATAAACTCACTTTTGGTACGTTAGACAAACTCTGAACTACAAACACAACAGGATTTCCTGCATTCTTGATAGCTTCCACTGCTTCTTCGTGTGTGGCATTTTGTAGATCTATCCCAGAAACCTAACAAATATCATTTGTTTTTATTAGATAGCTTGTTATTTGCACTGCACCTTTTAAAGAGATCACATACATTCACAGAAGATTAGTTTATATGAGGAAGGTTCCAAAAGCAGTCAATAGAAATTATTTTTGAAGGATTTTTCCCGGTTGGTTTAAGGAAAAGCATATTAGTTAGCATTCACAATAACGATGGCCATATATGTTGTCAAACAACTGCTCTATTCCAAAAAACAAAGAACAAGACTGTCAGAGTATGCTAGGTATAATAACACCTTCAGATTTTACCTGTTTGTAAACTAAATCTGTTTTGAAACATCTTTCAAAACATCACATGCAACTCCGAATACACACAGGAATGCCATTCCTGGCTTTCATCTCTGGCTGGGCTGATTTTTACTCATTTATCTCTGAATCCCAAGGTGACAATGCCATTCTCACCTCAGGCACTTGCCAAAATCAGCAATTTCCTTTAAACAGTAGCTAACCAGACAACAAACCAGCTAACAAATACAAAATAACATACACAAAATAAAAACCCATATATTTCAGTAAACTCTTCTATATATTACAACACACACCTAGAAGTTATAGCAAGCTATAACAAATTACTATTTCTTATTCATTCATATAAGTCTTTTTATTTTCTTTCATTTCTCAGGGCTTGTCTTTTCTTAAATATACAGGAGAATGTTAAACCATCTCCACAGTTAAACCTTTAAAAAAGAAAAGACAGCAGGGGTATTTTTTTGGTTTTCAAAACACAGCCATCAATACTTCACAAAGCGGTGGTTGTATTTTGTTCCTCCATCCATCCTTCCAAAGCTGAGTCAAACTTTATTTCTCCAAATGAAAAGGTAGGTTTGTCTGCATTTACCTCAAGTATTTTATCTCCAGTTTTTAAAGCTCTTGTTCTTCCTGCTGGGCTGTCTTCCAAAACTTGTTTGATAAAGATCCCTTTAAGTTCCTCTCCATTCTTTAGGCGCTTTATGACAGTTTGTCCACCAACAATACTTATTCCAAGAGACACATGAGGATCTCTGAAGATCTCAACACTGAAAAAATACATGCAGAAGTCTAACAGCTTGAAACAGTTAAACACAAAGCCTTAAATAAATGTAAGCTTTTCGTCTTTCAAGACTATTTAACAGAGTGAAGAGATGAAGCCAGAAGCCTATGAATGCTCACAAAAGACCTTGCTTTTTACCCTCTGTTGTCTTCACTCCTCAAAAAGAAAAAAAGTTATTGCCAGCCCAGGCCTACTGCCCTTCCAGTAGGTTTTTATTTTAGAAAAAGTCAAAGTAAAACAGACAGGTCTTCAAGTAAACAAACTCAGTCATTTTCAGTTTGATTAAATTCTTTGGAAATGGCAAAAACTGCAAATGGTATGCTAAAAATGATAAAACAATAAACAAGTTTAATGCAGCTTCCTGGCTTCCATGTGTCAGATGCATATTAATCAGCTTAAGCAGAATTGTTTTAATCATTTTGTACGTAGGACCATAAAATCAATTCACCTAAAGTGTTAGCAGCATAATGAGAATGTGGCTAAAGTTGGCTTGGCAATTCCAATTACACCACAGAATTTAGCAGAAAAAATGAAAATGGAGACAGAAGTACTGTGTACACTGTTCACACTTAGTAGTTATTAAATGAATATGAATTTGTAGGTCATCATCAACATAAACATACCAAGCTTTCCCCAGTCAGTTATATAACTAGAAAGTACAGTTCTGTTGAACATGATTAAAAATACACTGTATCTAAGAAAGCCTAAAGTCCAAAAGTACCTTAAGTTACTGGGAGAGAAGGGATGAGAGAGAAAAAAGAAGAAATAATCAGGCTCACAAAAATAAAGACATAACACAAATGAGAAGAAATGATGCAACTTTATGAACATACGTCCGAGGTGGTCCCCAGTGGCTGAAGTTTGGAGTTTCTTCACCTTCTCCTTCTTCTCTTTCAGGTAATTCACTAATTGGGGGCACAGGAGGGGAAGAATAAGAAAAATAATAATAAAAAAGTATCAACACCATGCCAGGTCACAATTCTTTGCATATTTTCTATCTGGCAGTGAGAACAGCAACATATTCTCAAACAGTCCAGTTTAAATCAAATGTGCAGTCAACAGACTAAGCAGGAATTTTTGTATTTAGGTTTAAATATATCTAAGGAATGCACCAGAATGAAATATGATGGACTGGCCAAATGTACAAGCTGCTGTGAAACACACATCTCCACTGCTGTACCTGATTCGAAATGACTATTTAAGCAGTCATTTTTACTTTCTGATAAATATGCTGTGACTTTTACAGAGGGATATAAACATGGTAAAGCCAATCTAGCTTACCAGAAAGCCAGTCGTATTGCAACTGGGAGAACAGGTCTTGTGTGTTCCATTAAACACCCCAGAATGGGGTGTTAATTAAACTTTTATAATATGTATGACTCATCTATTCACAGAATAGGAATTGAAATATCAAACTGCAGGCCCCCCACAGCAAGGTTCAAGCAGTACATCCTTGCACACATTTTCTGTAGACCCTGAGAGCTGTAAACACTACTTTTACATTGCAAAAAGGAAGTAGGATGTTGTACTGGAGAAATAATCCCCTCAACATATTGCTGAGCAGCTTTCAGACTGAAGGAAATTACAGATTAATTAGAGAAGCAATGAGAATTTGAGCCAACAGTCCCTGAAAGCTGATCCTCTACCTGCTCACCCAAATATGGTGGGAGAAGTATAGGAGAATTTATAGTAGTGGCAACTATCTGTGACCAGTGCCAGCTCAAGGTTCCTGCACAGGCATGAGGGTCATAGCTAAACCCTGGAAGGGAAGGAACAAAGAAAAACAAAAAACAAGAGGACAAAGCTGTGACAAAGAGCTAAGGGGAGAACTCTTTAAGAGGTAATGACCAGTGTTGCCAGTAAAGGCTACAGTCTTCTTCTCCTGGGCATGTCCACTCTTGTGGCTCCCACCTAACTGTGGGGCAAGTGATGTAGGTGGGCCAGCATTCAGGGGAAGAAACATGGGAAGTCAGAATTCAGTAAGACTGTAAGGCAAATATTCAGCTCCTTGGGTAAAGGGCACACACTGGGGGTGGCCTGTATCTCAGAGATCCCCACAGCTTTCAACAATTAATCAGTTAGAAGAAAAAAAGGTATGAGCATTAACCAAAAATCAACTGAAAATTGAAATCTTTCTCCATACCTGAACAAAACTGTTCTAGGCTGAGGTAAGGTGGTAACTCTCACAGATTTTTCATTCTTGGAAAACATATAATCCTCCCCTTCTTCCTTTTCAACACCTTCTAGGTCAACAGTGAGACCAGGTACTTTGGAGTCCATATGAAGCTTCGAACCTGATGAAGTAAAGGTTCAGATGTAAACTTTTGCTTCCTCTGTCTCTGCATCTACCTATCACCTTTGCAAATAAACCCCTCAGCTCACCACGTTCCAGATGTGAATGATGAGAGATGATCAAGAAGCTCAGAGATACAGAGTATTTATTTTGCAGGAAATTTAAAGCATGTTGATTTATCTATCTTTAATAGCACCTTGCTTCTGACCTGCAGTCAGGTAATAAGAGAAAATGCCAAATCTTATTGGAATCTGGACATGCTTAGATACAGCTTACACGGCATATGTTTCTCACAAAGACATGATTAGAGATACTGAATCCATCCTTCATGCAGGAAGAGCTGTACAAAGCCGTGATCCAGCATGGATGACTAACGTCATTTCAGTGCCATAAATATAAACACTAATTAAATCACTAGAGCTCCTTGCTGAAGTCATTAGTCTGCCACTTTGGTTTGGTTGTCTGTTGTACAAGATGCAGGTGACAAAGACTAGAAAGAGCTCCCTTTCTCCCAGTGAGTGAGTGCTATCACAAGCAGGCTGATAAACTAATTCGCTGACAACATACCAAATTCTAACCACTGATTTAGGGGGGATGAAATTCATTTGGTCTTGAAGAGCTACCTTGAATTATATGTACTTGTGTAATGAAACTGTGGCAACCCAGATTAAATCTAAAGAAAATGTTTGCCAAAATATCCATCTCCAAACTCTTCTTCCTCCAAGAAGTCACTTCATTTTGGTGTGTCCGTTGCCACTCATGCAGCTTGACTGAGTTTCTCACTGCTCTGAGGCACTCTGGAGAAGGCAAGAGCTCACCCAGTGAGAACCCAGAGAACACGCATAAACCCACAGGGCAAAGTTCTCATACACAGGGACAACAATCTCACTGCCCTAAGACAGTACGGAAACTAGAAAGTTTCACGTCTGTTTCAAAGTCAGACATCATTGGAGATGCACATGAAGCTGCCAGAGAAAATAAAGTAGACCACGCATGAAATCCTCCTGGTGATGTAGCTAGTCAGAGGGATGTGACTCTCCACAGGTAGGAAAAAGCTGCTGCAACTTTCACTATTACTTGTGACAACTGTTGGCAAACATTTGGAGGAAAAAACAAGAAAATGAAGATCTCTACAGGCTCAAGGCAGTTTCTGCTTCATTTGAATATTTTATCATCTGAAAGTTTGAAAATAAATTTGTGCTTCAGTATAAAAGTTAAATTTGTAAATTCAAAGTTACAACATAGAAGAAAGACAGACAGAAAGACAGACAGACAGAAAACTTCTTACAAACCTAAATCCATTTTGTTTCTTGGTCCTGGCTGGGTAGCTCCACTGTCCAATAGGCCTTTGTGGTAGTCACTGTGTGCTATGGTTCCAGAAGACTGTGAAGTTATATTAGCATTTTCTTCATACTTCAGAGAGGAGAAAAAAGTTAAGTTAGAAAGCAATAGTTTCAACTTATATAGATATATTTGACATGAATGTTGATTTTACAGCAAACATTCACATCTTCTCAGCTAAATAACTACCTATTCACATAACTATGGACTACTGTAAGTATCTAAGCTGCACTATCATCTGGTTCTAGGAACTGATTGAGATTAAAAATAATGAGGAAAAGAGGGAGCTCATTTCACTGACACTGCTGCTGAAGGCCCCGTCATGACTTGACTTTGGTTATTACTGAAACATATCAAATAAGTAGAACTTGCAGAAAAGAAGGGAATTCAGATGTCACAGATGGAAAAGAGGACAAAAGTATAGAATAGCTATAAATACACCCATCAGAGGATGTACCTCACCCAAGGAAATGTACAATCACTATGCAACAAAATAGAGCCTTCCAAAATGTACTAAAAGATACACTGGTGTCCCTTAGATGTACTCAGATCTCAGCTACTAATTAAAACACAGGACAGACTGATTACAGAGTTTAGGTCTAGAATGTGCCTTGAGGAATACAGGTCCCTACCATCAGGGTACAGCACTGAGATGCACAAAGCATTTCTTACCATCTGCTCCCTATTGAATGTATATTCCAGGGACTGCTTTGGACTTAAGTTGGCACTAGATCTTAAGTCTTGTATTTTAGCTGTCTGAAGTTGCTCTGCCCATTCTGTACTCAGGTTCTTCTCTGAAGATGCCTTCTGTCTATCTGATGAGCTATATTTCAGGAAGTCTAAATCTTCTTCATACTCATCCACCAACATTTCCCGTTCTTCATCCACTTCTTCTGTTGTGGGTTTCCAGAATTCACGCATCTCCCAGGACTCCTTCTCATATCCATTGTCATTTTGAGAAAGCTGAAATGACCTTCCCAAGTCCAAAATTGGTTCATCAACAGCTTCTTCTTTAAAAGGTGTTTCATCTCTGAAACCCTGCGTAAAACATTACAGGAATATAGATTTGTCATTATTTTTCTTGCTTAGTCTTAAAACTATGTTTTATGTTAGATCAGATTAAAATTACATCCTGATTTTCAAAGTGAAAATCTTCTACCTTTTGCATTTTTCTCAAAGAAAATGCACTCTCCGACTTATGATTTTAATAGCAAAAGTAACCATTGCAATTTCCTTTAAATATAAAGAAATTTCATTTGGACAGTTCAGATATTGCTGCAGCCATTCAGAATAACCACTCTAGACTGTAGTAAGGAGTGAGAATTTTTAAACTATACTAAAAAAAAAAACAAAACCTGGAAGAAAGCACATACAAATCCAACTAAAGTGTCTTTGTAACCCAGACTTACTGCTATTGCTCTGTCTATGCAAGTACATTTCTTATAATAACAGAGCACCAGTTAAATAAAACACTTCTGAGCTGAAACCACAGAGCAAGGTACAACAAAACCAAAAAGACATACAAGCTCCCCTCCTCCAGACCCCAACTTCCCAAAAGATCTTGCTCAACAGTTCTTATGCTGGGATTTGTCACATGCCTCACAGTTTTCAATGCTTTCTGTTTCTCCTAAATTGAATGAGGTGCAATTCATCGGCTCACGGAGCTGTGCTGACTGCAGCTACACATTACATGGACATCCCTGAAATTTTATACCTTAGGGAGCTATTAGAAAGCTTGCCATAGCCTGAAAGCCTTTCCTCTCTTTACTTCAGGCTACTGAGCACATGTGCCCAAACTTGGTCTTCAGGGCACCAAGACCCTGAACACTGAAACCAATCTTGATTCAGTGGTCCTGAATCAAAACATTTTCCCTTCTGCTTCCTGCCTCTTCCCAGGCTCCCCATGGTACTTTGCTATTTCTGACCCTCAGAATCCTGTTTTGTTAGAAACAACCCAGACACTGCCAAAAAGTGCTCACAGTTCAAATGAGTGTCAGGAGAGAAAGCAAGAGACAGACAAGAGCATAAGGAAACAGTGCAGTAATACTAGCTGGCACGAACGCATCACATTAGCAGTCTAGAAGCTACCCCATTTTTCATAGGCATTAAATGTTCCTTTTTGCCCTGAGAACCTCAATCTCACAAAATATCCAATCTGAAGAGATTCTAATTCTCTTCATTGTTACTTCAATTCATTTCACTCCTGCTGCATCATTCTCCAACCGCTGCAGACTTGTAAGAGCCACCAACTTCATCGTAATATTAAACAGTTCACTCAGAAACCACACAGCAATTTGTATTGCCATCTCCTGATACAGCACTTAGGTATGTATAATCACAGACTGCTGCACTGCAGTAGCAGACTCTACCAATGGAAGTGGGAATACCGCAAGCACGACAATAAAGTCTACTGTTGTAGCATATAAAATGTTCAAGTTTTTTTTTTTCTTTCCCCTGTCAGCTTTGTCAGCACTATGCTAGAAAGTAAGAACTCAAGCCATCATGACACACTGCTCTCAGCTCTTATATGAACAGATAAGGTAATAAATAATGGCATTTTTATACCACCTTTCTATGCTACTATCAGTTGTTATACGTAAAGTAAAACAAAATACAAGCAATGGTATTTGCTTGTATTTTGTACAAACTGACCATTACAGCTCCTATATTCAGTAGGAGTAAGATAAAATACGCTGTATAAAAGCAGGTAATAACATTACTTTATTTAGGAAGTAGGAAAAAAATCTGAGCTAGCAGAGGACTAATTGCTCTGCCAGGAACCCTTGCTATGCACCTGGTAAACAATAAACTCCATTTTGCATCATGAAAATCAGTAAGTAATACATCCGAGCCAATTTCTATACATTACACACCTACATCTGCCCCACAGTTTTGCTCTTTTTGGTGGTCCTAAATCTAAAAACAGTGCACTTATCAATGTGAATTAATTCACATTTGTGAAGTATTTGAGAACAAATGAAAATCCAGAGATCTTTCACTCTAGACAAGTTATTGCTGCAATATAATTGTCTATTGCCCTGGTATCTGAGTTTCTGTCGCTATTTTTAGTGCCACATCCCACCCCAACAATGTTATTACTCACAAAATGGAAAATAAGAAGTGAGGAAGAGACTGAAGAAATTACTCTTGGCCACACAGGAAAGTCTGTGAAGACGAACAGATCTCAAGCTTGCCTTATACACCAGACTACTATTTTGTTTCCATCCATTATAACACAGAATATTCTATTCCATACCTTAACTTTTTTGCAAAGCTGAACCAGTGACTTATGACTATTAATGCTGTAGCAATCCTATTTCATAACCGAGATAACATAAGGTATTTTAATGAGTTAGTAAAATTGATCAGACAGTCCAGGAACTGCATTAGCAACTGTAAGCTTGGTGTCCACAATACAACTAGTATACCAACAGCTGTGAGCATCTATTTTACAGGGAATCCACCCTGGAGTGTATCCGAAACTGAAATGTTACCTGAAGAATATTTTATCTTCTGATTGTAAAATGTTATTTCCTGTCTCTATAAACTTCAGCTGAACCAAAGGAATAAACAAATACCTGTGGTGCTTCAAGGATTATTGAGAAATTGGTATTATCTCTTGGTTCTGGAGATCCGGGGCTGGTTTTCATGTTGCTGGTATGCATACTATGCATGTTCTCCTCCTCTTTGCTTTCTCCCTAAGCAAAGTGATCAAAATGATAAGTCAGGAAAGCAATACCAACAAAAAACCTAAAAGTTCACATTTTTCCACTAAATGGAAGAGGGAGAAACAGCTATTGGAAAAGAAGGTGGAAAAAGTTACAGAAGGATAAAAAAAGTCACAAATGGATCAGGTGAAGAGAATAGCCTTTATTCTTTTTAGATATTTATATATATATATGTATATATATATAGTTTCAAAAATGCATAGGGAAGACAAATACAAGCACATGAAGGATAAAATATTACTTTCTCAAAAAGGAAAAAAATGCATTGAATGGCCTTCCTACATTCTTATTTCACCACTCTGCTACCATTTTGAATTACAAGCACTTTCTGTCAGATAGTGCTTTGCTTCAATTAATTGTATCTGCCTTGCCCTTGAAAAGCAACACTGCAGCCTCCTCAAGTAAACTCTGTTCCTAAGCCCTAATTTCAGAAAAAAAATTCTACTTGAATTTACACTCTTGACTTCAAACACATCGGAGAATGAGAGAGAAAAAATCCAAGTGCTTACCACCAACGGTTTGCAGATTCCAAGAGAAACTCTTCCTGGGGGCACAGATTTCAACACCTCTACTGCCTCCGTTAAAGTTGTGCTGTCTAAATATTTCTCATTTACAAACACCAAGCGGTCACCGGGTAGAAGCTCACCACCACGTTCAGCTACTCCACCTGCCACCAAAGAGCTGATCACAATGGCTGTTCTCGTTGGATCCAGGGGATCCTGAAAAAGAAGCCCCAGAAAGGTGGTGATTATTTTGAATGTATAAGGAGGAGTAAGCGTGTTCCTCATTTTATACAACCAAACTGAAGCTTGCTAACTCCTATAAAAAGGACTGTCTGCTAATAACGGCCACAGCTTGTAGATTACAAAAAGAAAGGTTTGCAGCAGGAAGATATTCTGTCCCTTGCTTAATCCATTAAGAAATTTTAAATTCTAAAGCTCACTGATGCCCTGCCTGCCTTCTTCTCACATGCAGAGAAACAGCCAGGCCAACCTGGAAATAGAAGAACAACACTGGCACTGGTCCACAGCTCTCTGTCCAGTCTGTTCTGTGTTAGTGTTACATAAAATAACCATCCTGCTTGCAATTCAGGAGCTTCATGGCAGCTAAATTTGTCTAAAAAAAATCACTGCAAGATCAGAAATTTAATTAAAGTTATTAAAGAATTAAAGTCACAACATCCAAGAAGCAGCACTGTGCCTTTGCTAAGCTACTGCAGTATTTCTGCTCTGTGAAATCTGCAGACAACTCATAGAAAACAATTTGTGTGAAGCTTCCCTGAGAACAGAGGGTCAGCAACAGAAGAGTAACCAAGATCATTAATGAAGACACAGAACATTGCAGTGATGAATACAGAGGAACGTGAAGTAGGCAATATTATACACGTTGGAGAGACTGTAAATTGATGCAAAGATACCACTTTCCATACATTTTTTTCTTTAGTATTAACCTCTGCATTGTGTCAGGTACCATTTCTAGAATACATTCACAGCCATTTAAAAATCCATTCTCAATCCAATGAAATAATCCAAAGTAAGTATATTGTGGCAGGAAAACACAGATTTTTTTATTTTTATTTTTTAATTACAAGCCCTTCTCCCCTCTGCTAAGTGCTCAAAAAGTTCAGAAATGTTCCTTGCACGCACTATGACTTCAAAAGCAGAATCAGGTACTATTTCTCCTCTTCAGGACTTGCATCTTAGCATATGAGAGGGATCCAAAAAGGCAAAATTTAATTCACAAAGACCACCACGACTTTGCAGCTCAGTGTTAATTTGAAAACAGGAATGTTTTTCTCTTGCATATAACTCTAACGCTGCTTTCCAAGTGAACATTTTTTTTAAGGTATGTACAAATATATGAGGCAATGAATGTAATGTCTGCAAATTGGCTGAAATTAGAGGAGCGAAATTGGAGTTCAGCAGGAAGAGCCATGCTGGAACTGAATTCAAGTAATATAGTAATAGCTAGTAATAACTCTCTCCTGCTCTACTGCTTAATCCCCCCATTTTACAATCTTCACAAGCACTAGGTGTCCGTGCTGTAGGAGGAGGCTTCCTTGCTGGTATCATGTCTCAATAATCAAGCCCAGCAACCTCCTTCTGCTGCTCAACGGTGTTCTGCCTACTGAACGAGTGCCAGGACACATGGGCTGCCCAACTGCTGGTGCTCAGACCTGCCTCGTGCGACACAGAGCAGAGAGGATTTCATTTGGTGCAGATACCAAGCGATTCACATTCTGTGCACACCTTGGGAATCACTTGAAAAAGCAAATAATAATAATAATGAAAAAGAAAAAAGTCCAGAAAAGCTCAAAGGTTCCAAGAAGATTAAAAAAAATAAAAATATTTGCTTTAAAAGAGCTTAATTTTGAAAATGTAATGTTCCTGCTGCCCTGTATGTGCACAGCCACCTTTACCTGCCCTTCCCAACCACGTGCCCAACCATCCTGGTGACAGCTGAGCACAGAACAAACGCTCCATTTAACACAGACTTTTGAGATGCTTTGTGATTTGGGGGCTTTTCTCCAACGCAAAATAAAAACAACCTTTTAGACTTCTTTGCAAAATCAGGACCACATTAAGACAGCCGTTTTGAAGCAAGGAGGACTGCTCACTTTAGGAAGGCTTTGCTAATAGAACTAACCCAGCAAGTTTATTTTTTATCACGGGTTCATCTTGCCATGGCAAGCAAGGTTTGTGCCTGCTCCCTAAAAGGGTGAATGCGCTCTCAGCAAAACTACACCTTTGCTGACACAACAGCTTTTATACTATGACTTTTGCTGGCTTAGCTATATTGATTAAAAAAAAATGATAATTGAACAAAACAAAACCAGCGCTTGTCTTTACTGATGCAGATAAGCTGACAAAATATTTGCAGGTGAATGACTGGTCCAATAATTATGGCACTGACTGAGAATGTGGGAGAACCAGGTTCAAATCCTGTTCTGTCTGATCCAAAGTTTTTCTTTTCTTTTGGTTCCCAATCAGAATCACTTAAACAACACATGGGAATCTCACCATCAGCTTCTCCTATACAGATACTCAAGGACAGTGGCCTAACCACCACATTTCTGATGACAAATAGTCCTGTTGTCACCTAAACTTCCACTGAAATCAAAACATTTTGGCAATAGTAAAATCAGTATGTTTTGGTAGATTTAGTTTAGCTGAAGAAGTGTTCCAACCGACTAATCCTCCTGTTAAAATGAAAAATGACAGAGTTCCTGCAGATGCACATGGTTCCCACACAGCAACGTTTTGAGAGCAGCACGGTTATCAGCACTGCTTTGTAACACCTCATGTGCAGGAACGTAGGCCATATATCAGAACAAAAAGCAGCAGAAGAAATCTTTCGAAAGGGGGCTGTATTAAAAATCGTTGATCAGGTGAACACAAAGCAAGGGTTATAATTACACTGCTGTTTTCAAGCAGAGGGAGCTATTGTACAGGAAGAGAAGAGCAGTGTAAACTGCACGGTGACAGGGTTAAGTCTGTAATGCGGGCACTGCTGTAAAAACCCCAAATGTTTGTTACCAGGACTGTGAATCACAGTGCTATTGCCACAAGAAATGTAACAAAAGCCACATGTGAAGACAGACCTACACTCAGTTTGAAGGTGTAATCTTTTTTATATATTCTTTATAACTTCAGGGCAACTACAACTGTGGATTGCATCGTGCTTTTCTTACCAAAACAAAGGAGCAATGTTTTTCTTCAAACTTAGCATATGATTTAAATGCACCTAAAGAACAACACCTGCTAAAACAAGACAGCAAGCATTGAATTCACATCTTATAAACAGTGAGTACAACCGGACTGAGTGGGATTTTTTTTTTTTTTTTTTTTAATAAAGAAAGCAGTGCTAGCAGCCAGCTGAAAAACAGCTTCTTTCTTTCCATACTAACTGCAAGAGGGAAGTTCGCTCGCAGAGAGCCCTGCCAGGCTCTGGGGCCACATCCATGCTAACAGATCAGCCAGAGCCATTTGAGGTCACAGAGCAACACTGACTGCACACATTTACCAAAGACTTCTGGTTCATTTCACCTGGCTTATGGCAAGCCAGCTAATAGCAGTTTTCAGTCACCAGCAGTCAGGTCTGTGTTTCAGTCTGCTTACTGGCTTGGATGTTGTTACAGGCTGGGAAGGAACTCCCCACCCAAACCCAGAGCTGTTGCTGTAAAAGTACATTGCTAGAATACACAAGTGGCACAATGTCAACAGTTTAAGCAGTTTTTATCTTTCCACACTCCCCGAGTAAGCTGGTCATCTTAGAATGGGCATAAACCAGGACTGGAATGTATAGAAGGGAACTTTTAACTTCTGTTTACTGCACAAAGGAATCTATATTTATAAACAACGAGGAAAAGGAATCAGACTGGTAATTAAAGCTATCAAGAGACAAAGCCTCCTTGCTCTAAGGCACCAATACAAACCTTTTTAGAAAAAGTAAAAATAAATAAAAAATAAAAAAATAAAATAAAAACAATCACGTGTTGAAAAAGAATATTTGCCACTTGAATTAATGCTGAAAGTTGAGCATTGCAGTGCAGAGCAGCAGCCCAGGCAAGGCCTCCAGTAACCCTCTGAGGAACCGGGATGCTGGAGCTGTCGCTCTCCTGAGCCAGTCACAGAGTATATGAACTTGTTTAAAATAGTCACAATTTATTCATATTTAGCACACCATATATTTAACTACATTGAACCATAGCTCTTCCCTTCCCCCTACTGCTCCTCATCAAAATCCACATACGTTTCCTGGAGTCCAGGTGTCAAATTTTTCCCTTCCTTCTCAGAGCCTCATTTGTTCTGGATCCATTTAGCAGCGCTCAGAGTCAGGCGGGGGCCGCGGCCGTCGCTGCCTCTGGGATCCCTGCATTCAGGGTTGTACAGAGCCTCTTAAAAACCTGAGTTCTGCAAATACGTTAGGAGCCCCAGGAGCACCGAGTTAACAGAGTCCTATGTGCAACGCTGTCGGGGTGTGTAATTTCACGTGGCTTTGAGCGAGGGGCTGAGCAGCGATGCTGAGCACAAGCACTGAGGGTCCGCACTCAGTCAGCGACCAGAGCTCCTTGAGAAACACAACTGGAAACGAAACCAACGCAGATCACCTCCGTCCATCTTCCTGGAAGACAGGAACGCTAAGAACGGGCTGTCGGCATCCCTGCGAGCTCTGAGCTTCCCGCAGCAGGCCCCAGAGGGCAGCACGGGTCCGGCCCACTGCCCGCCCTCAGGCTGCAGCTCGGAGCCCCTCGGCCCGCAGGCGGTGTGCTGGGGCTCCGCTGGGTGCAGGCAGCCACCACGCTGCTGGGGTCTGGTTGGTGTTTTCCTGCTTTCAAGGCTCCTATGGAAATGCAAGGCAAAGCTGCGGGTGACTGACATTTACTGCACAAAGTCACTCTCACTCACTTGCAGGCTATATTAGTTTTGGCATCATTTAAGATCTAAATTCAGCTAGCCCGACTTCCTAGAATGTTTTAGCTTTCTTCGAGCAACAAACTGCCTGCTGCCACACAAACACTGCTCTGAAAACACACATCAAAAATAGCATGGCAAAGAATCCCAAAAGAAACAGTTTGAAACTTTTTTTCCTGTACCAATTCTGATTTATCTGAACAATTTTACAAGTGCCAATTTGTATACTTGCGAGAGAGCCAAAACAAACACATGTTAGAGCTCAGAGGTCAGAGCAGCTCAGCTTCATTACATTTTGCATGGGA